ATATAAAATATAGGTACCTTTTGAGTGCTCTCTATTTTTCTTCTTTTTACATCTGAAACTGAAAAAAAATTTATACAAATATGGGAGGACCACAAAAAATTTTTTAAAAATATTTATAACATTATTATATATAATTTGTTATCAATTCTACAAAAACATTTAATATATGTATATTTATATAAACATAGAGAAAAACCCCCTTTTATGAGATAGACTCCCTAATATAAGAAAGTGGCGTTTTTGCTAAATTTTAATAAACGTTATCTATTGGCTCCACCATGAATTTATTATTCTTGGATCGAAAACTATAGTGGGCAATTCATTATTAGATCCCGTAATCATTGTAAAAAAAGATTTTAGAATTTGAACGTCTTCAAATTTCATCGAGATGAACCTTTAAACCTTGTTTCTTATTTAATAAATAAATATTTTTAGCAATAAATTCTTCATGCAGTGATAGAGTAAAATCTACTAATAGAAAAATACGAAATATGTTGAACTGCTTAATTACAGAAATTAGATTTGACGATCGTAAAATTGTAAGGCGTGGAAATCTCTAATGAGATACCCAAGATACTTCTAATATGGAATAACCTATGCACCTATATTATAGTGAAAATTGTAAAGTTTAAGTATAAATGTCATTGTATAATACAATAATAAAAAGAACAACCAGAATGAACATCGAATGCCTATTTTTGTGTTGCTTGATTCCAACTATTTGAAAACGAATTCTAAGTATAATCCATCGCATGCTCATTTTTCGCGCACGCTAAGTTGTTTGTATTTTAGAAACATAAATAAAGTTTTAAATAAAGTTTTGCAATACTGATGTACTACGGGCGGACACGTATATTCGGTTATCTTTAAACATTAATATCTCGTTAACTATTGTGCAAACTGCAAAATGGTAGAAGACTTTTCGATTCAGTTTAGTCTGCTCCACCTGCTCAGGGTGCCGATATTTGGTGCCATGAGCATTCCTGTATATATACAGGATGTTCCATAACTCTTATTAATTAATAATTCGGGAAGTAAAAGAGAATAAAATTTTGAATTAAAAGTTCCTTCCCCACTTTTGATTCAGACCATTATTTATCGAGTTATTAACAATTAAAATTGATCAATCAGCGCACAGCCGGAGTATGCAGGAGTGTAGCACGCCATGGAACTCCTTGCGCTTACCATGTATTCTCTCGAATGAAATTTTATTCTAATTGTTCATATTAATAAATAAATAAATCAATCAATAAATAGACAGATATCAACAAATTATTTATAAATAATGAATACAGTCGAACCTCCGTAAAAGTAACTTGTCGGGATCGATCTCCTTAAAAGTAAAGTCCGCCTCTACTCACTTTTTCAATGGTGCTTGCGCAAAGTTCCTCTTCTCGAGAGATAGCACTACCACAATGCAGTAATCTTTACGACATAACCTTAATATCAACACAAGCTGTGCATCTGTGTGATTCAAATGGAAAGCACCAACTGTGTTGAACATTTACTATGTTTACATTCGTGTAATCGGGCCTTATTGGTTAGAATTAATTATTTTCACATGCCATGCGCATGTATATGGTAGACGAAGTTTCGCAGAGGGAAAATTACTATGTGTATAAAAATTTGAGACATAACTTTTACAGAGATTAAAACAATAACGAAGATTAACTTTACAGTGGTTCGACTGTAAATCAAATAAATCAATAAATAAGTATCAACAAATTATTTACAAATAATTTATTGATAATATTATATTTTTTGCTAGTAATCCTCTTTTAATATCCATGATAAGCATCCTCTAATTAGTTTTTTTCTCATCGTTGTTCTCAGGATAGTTATAAAAATAAAATAATTAAATTGAACAAATGGATCAAGTAATTGAATTAAACAAATAAAGAATAAATAATAAAAAGCGGTAAAACTACAGAAAAAGGGAGCAACCGCCGACGACTTGAATCTTGACATATGTTGTCAAGATCATGACCCTGAGTAAC